TTGAACATGTCCCTTGCTTCCCTAACATTGCCTCAAGGAGGTGGAACTAGAATTTCTAGACATTGTTCCTTTCCTAATTCTGTTGGATATTTTACCAACTCCTACTGCCTTGGTGTCCAAGAAACCCTCAGTACCAGACCAACATCACCTTCATCCACTCTACATGTCTATGCTCAGAATAACAAACCCATGGTTAAGACTCATTCCAATGCCCCTACACTCGAGCCCTCTCCACCGCTAAAGGTCTCGGAATCCGCTCCGGCCGACATCCTTGGAACGATGCTCTCTAAACTTACAAGGATCACTCCTACTTTGACCGAGGAGTTGAATTTCCCCATTGAGGTACGCAAGCAGGCATGCACTTTTTATCCCTTGGCAAAATATATCTCATTTCATAGTTTATTTTCAACCTACAAAACATTTACCACTTCATTGATGGGTCGTTATCTCAAATTCACTATTAAGACGGCAATAGCTGACCCGTCTACAATCATGGATAAGATAAATGCCCTATGACGCAACCATGCGTGGGATGTTGTCGATCTTCCTTGAGTAAAGAAAGCAGTAGGTTGTAGGTGGATTTTCAGCACCAAATTTAAATCTCATGGATCCTTTGAACACAACAAGGCGCGGTTGGTCGCTAAACGCTATTCACAAACCTATGGAACTGGCTATGAAGAGACATTTGCTCTGGTTGCTAAACAAAATATCATTCAGTTTATGTTATTCCTTGTTATGAATCAAGATTGGCCCTTACTCCAACTGAATGTCAAGAATGTTTTCCTTAACAACAATCTCGCAGAGAAGGTGTATATGTCTCTCTCACCGGGCTTTGACTCAATCTCTTCCCTTGGACAAGTGCGCCGACTATGGAAGTCTATTTCTGGATTGAAACAATCCCCCAAACCCGATTCGACACCTAAGTTCTTGTGGGTAATGATTTCTCGTAGGCCCAATCTGATCACACGATGTTCTTCTGCCACTCAACCATAACCGTATAGCCATCCTTATCATCTATGTCGACAACATTATACTCAAAGGTAATGATTTGTCGGCCTTAAAATCTATCAAAGCTATCCTGGCCGCATCTTTTGAGATGGGCTTGGGTTCTCTCCGGTATTTCCTAGGTATGGAAGTAGCTCGGTTCTCTCGGGGCATTAGCCTTTCACAGCGCATATATGTGAAAGATTTACTAGCTGAGACAAAACTACTCTGCAAATCGATAGCTATTTCGATGGATCCCAATGAGAAATCAGGAGATATTCCCAATGTCGTTCTGATGAACAAGACACGGTACTGATGACTAGTGGGGAAACTCATTTACCTAGCCCATACGAGCCAAGACATTTTTCACGCCATTAGCATTATCAATCAGTTTATACATGATCCCTACGAGCACCATCTCACTACTGTCCATCGGATCCTCTAATACTTAAAAGGCACACCAGGATCAGATTTGTTGTTCTCTCTCCTCGCTTTATTACAATTATTGTTCCTTCATGTGGGAAAACCTTGTCATGTGAAAAAGTAAAAAACAGTACAATGCTGAAGTCAAGTTTCATTCTGTGTCCCTAGGGGTATGTGAAGTCCTTTGAAAGACAATGGTTCGGGTCTTTAAAGAAGGTAATTTTGTTTGAATCAAATTAAAGAAAGAGATTTCACACATGCTCATCGAAACATCATAACCTAAAGCTGATAGTTCATTTAAAATCACTAACATGAAGAATGATTATACTTACAAGATTGATCTAGCTAGAGAGTAAAATATCTCTATTACATTTAATGTCGCTAACTTGTCGTTTTATTACAAGAATTTGAATGCTACTCTAGAAGAAGGTGATGCCTCTTCAAGCCAAGAAGAGTGATGCGGGAGCTACCCGCAAGATCCCACGTACGACGAATAAAGATTGGGATCATAATTGAGGTCCTTCCGTGAGACTCCAGAGATGGGATTTTTTTAGCCTACCACTCTTAGTCGACCAAGTGGGCCCTTATTTAATATATTTTAACTTCTAATGATGATTAATTTATGCTTGATGATGTATATCGCTTGGAACCTTCTTTTGGGATAGTTGCTTTTCATCTATGTTATTTGGAGACCGTTTATTCCTGTTTTCTCCTATTTGGAGAGTTGTAGCCCTTTTTTTTTTGAAATGGTGAATCTATAGCATAAAAAAAACATGCGGGGGATCCTCCCAATCGTCCATACATCACTGTTTCGTTGTTCGTTCGATTAGTTTCAAGTCAAACAGTCGTCAAACTGCTTCAACCTCCTTCCAAACTCCAATGATTTCACATAATCCCTTCATCTTGCCATTTTACAACATCTCTATACCAAGCATGATGCTTAAGCACCTTCTACGAACCCTAGAATAGTGTCAAAGAGAAACTTTAATTTCAAAGTGAAGGTATGTGCTGGATCAATAGAAGGAAATAGGGATGCTAAGATGCATAACAAGTGATATTAGGGTTTAAGTGAGCTAAGTTGGCTCATGAGCCGTCTTGAGCTCAACTCGATATGTGACACATGAGCTAAGCTTGATGAGCTAGCAAGCCAAGCTCAAACCAGCCCCAACTCAACTCGTTAGCTCGTGAGTTGTCTCATTTAAAAAATACTTAATAAAAATATACTTAAATATACTTAAATAATATTTTACAGTTTATATCAAGCTATTTCTTATTAATCATCTCTTAAACGTTCATTTTATTTGTCATTTCATTACAAAACTAGTTTAAATTAATATATTATTCTCTCTTTCATACTAAACAAATTAGCTCATGAGCCAACTTGACCTTTTAGAGTTAAGCTTGAGCTTGATTAATTAATCAAGGTCAAGCTCAGCATGAGGGTGGTTCCAGTTTAATCAACCCCAAGCATAATAAGAGGGTGGCTCGAGCTTGAATCCAATTAATTAATCAAGCTCAAGCTCAAGTTAAAGCTAAAGCTAAGAGTGGCTCGAGCTTGACTCGACTCGTTTAGATCCCTAGGTGCACTCCTATGGATTCTAGCTAGAAACTTGGAAATAACAATGATAGTGCACTAGTTGACAAAGAGAGATACTAAAGACCAGTAGAAGAACTCCTCATTTATTACATACTAGGCCTAACATTAGCATTGTTGTGAGTGTGGTAAGTCAATTCATGAACAATAAATCATAAGAGCACATGGAGGTTGTTGATATGATTTTGGCATACTTAAAGATGACAACGGGTCAAGGATTCTTCTACGAACGAGGTAGAAAAATTAGATTGAGATATTTACTAATGCAAATTGGGTCAATTCTACAATAGACAGAGAATGGACTTTAGGCTATTGCACATATGCCAATGGAAATTTAATCACTTCACAGTGCAAGAAGCAATTATTGTCTCAAAGCAATGCAAAAGCAAATTCAAAGCACTTCTACTCAGTATCTGTGAAGGAATTTTGCTAAAATGAGTGCATTGTGAGATAAGAATTTCAATTACATGTTAGATGAAGATGTTCTATGGCAATCAACATAACAAAGAATATAATGCCTCATGATAGAACAAAGCACATTGAAATCGATAAACACTTGGATTACAACGTTCTGGCCCACTTGAGGAAATTCCCAGCCGTTAGATGAAGATGTTCTATGGCAATCAACATAACAAAGAATATAATGCCTCATGATAGAACAAAGCACATTGAAATCGATAAACACTTCATCAACAAGAAAAGGATAAAGGCAGACATGAGATCACTCTAGTACATTCCAACCAGCCAATATATTGCATCATCACAACTAAGGCCACGCCCAAAAAGGCATTTCAAGATCTTAATTCCAAGCTAGGATTATCTACAATCCAGCTTGGAGGAGAGTGTAGAAATTAGTGATTTTTAACCTAATTTCTAGGAATTATTTGTTGAAGAATTAGTTTGATATGTTTCCTATAATATGGGGAAATTGGTATTCTTTTACTGATTCCCTAATTAGCTATTTTTTCAGTTTTTGTTCCTTAATTGAAGAGAGATATTCTCTCATTTCCTCTTTATTTATTAATGCAGTGCTTCATCAAAAAATAATAAAAAAATATTATTCTTATTCTCAATTTCTACACAAATCTCATTGCAGTCTCATTGCATCCAATTCAAACTATTCTCTGAAACAAATCAACCAAGCACCTCTTCTGACACTCGCAAGCTTGGGATAACAAAATCTTCTATAGCTTCATATGCGGTTACTATTGTTTCCAAACTCAAGTTGACATTTTATATGCCACCTTGTGTTTGTGGAGGAGGATTATCATATTTAAAAAATAATATTTGCTAACACAGATTAAGAATATGAAATATTTATAAATCTATTTTCTCATTATTTAAAAACTTATCTTTTTATATTTTTCATGTATTATTCTCTTTTCTTACTTATATATAGGAATATATATGTTTTACAAAAAAAAAAAATAACTACCAAACATGTTATTTCAAAGTTTATCTCACTTATAACATCTATCTTTCATGAACTTTTAATTAGTTCAAAATGGTGTATTATAGCTCACAAATCAAATTTTTTTATTAATTAAACAACTTTATCAACAATCCGGATGCTACTTATCAGTTCAAGAGTAAACAATTATCATAGATAAATTTTAAGCATAGCAAACAGCACCTACAATTTCAACGCTATCAAATAACAGTGTCATGAATCTTTTCTTCCAGGACACTAGGTTTTTTCTAGTATACGCTATTTCACAGTATTATGTGTCCATAAACAAAAAAAAAACTAAAAATGAAATTCTTCAATGTTGATATGTAAGTTAAAGTTGTCTATTGTTACAAAAACAGTATTATAAGAAAATAATCTAAAGATAAAAATAATCGCAGCTGTCATATCAACAACCTAAAGTAATTTCCTTTTAATTTATGCAATTCATTATGGCATCCCAAACATTGTTGGAAAGCATTCCATCCTCCTTTATGTCAATGTAAGATTACTAACCTTCACATAACTAAGAAACCTTAAATAGTAAAATACCTCCAAGGTTGGTGATAGATTCAACCCAGCTGCATCAAGACTACGAATTCCATGCCCTCGTAGATCCAGTCGCTGAAGCAAAAAGTATCAATCAGAAATCTCTTCATCTTGAACAGAACTTGAAGTAAGTTTGCAGCATATATAAATATTGCACTGAAGCATCAGTATTCATTCAGAAGACATAAACTTAAAACAAAAATAAAATCCAAATACAATTTAAACAAAATGGCACATAAAAAAGTAACAGTAACTCACAAAGTATGATACTCACCAGGTCATCCTTTGCTTTAGCATCCACTTGAGGGAGCATCATGAAACGAGAATCACCACTTTCAACAGTTTGAGTTTTTTTCTTGCCAGGTAGTGAAGAATTCCTATCCACAGATGCTGAAAGGGACCCCAACTTCAGGCTGCTTGTAACAGGAGGTGATCTTGCTGAAGGAGAGGAAACAACCAAAGTTGTTTTCCTAGACTTACTATGGCCATTAGAGCTTTCCAGAGAAGGTGAAGAAACACTCCTCAATGAAGACAATGGCTCTAATGCTTTAACTGATGACCTTTGCATAGAATATGCTGCGCCATTATTAAACTTTGAAGGTAACCGCGAGCTTAAAGAAGCCTTTTTTCCATTCAGAGTTGCTTCCGGTGTTGAAACCTTTGAGCTGACCGGGGGGAGAGATGACCTTCTACTTTCAGCGCTACTTTTCTTCGTTGAGTTCAACATTGAAGGAGATTCATTTTTCCCATTCTTTGAAGAAAGTTTTGAACCAGTGACGGCCTGCTTCTCAGAAATGCCACCCGTGCTGTTTCTCCTCGGTAATGAAGCAGCGCTGGAACTCAAAGTTGGCTTCATAAGACTAGACTTAATTCGACTGGAACACTCAATTCCGTGCTGTTTACAGAATGGCAGCCCGCACCCAGAAGATCTTACCCAATGTTAAAACAAGGACGCAGGAACTGGATCAAACAGACCACATTTCACCGCAAACTCCGTTTATCACCCTAGATCTAAAGAACTACAGCATGAATTAGCAAAAAGTGAACAATGGAAAGTCACAAGAAATCAGAGTCAGGACGAAATCAAAGAAAAGGAGATTCCTGAATAACTTCCAAAATGCGGCTATAACTCGCAGCAAAACTATAAAAAAAAAAACCAGAAAGGTTCAAAAATGCACGAATTCAGACATGGATCTTCGCAAAATGCAACCAGCAAAGCAAATCCTATTCCACAGTTCACACAACACAAACAAAATAAACCAAAAGCAAAGCTCGGAAGCATGCAGCAGATGGAAATCTCACCTTCCGCACCTGAGAAACGACGACGGGACATGAATGCAGAAGGGAAAAGTGAAAAAGCTGTAAACAGAAATCAAAAAATAATATATTTCTAATGCAGCTTTAAAAAACTCGCTTTAGGTTGAGCGAGGCCATCGAACCACGGAAAAAAGGCCATAACTTTACAAACACTCCTGCCCGACTTCGTGTCGGTAGCATGGCGCAAGGAAAGGTGAGCTTACTCTTCTCACATGGGGACATCAATTAATGAAAGATGAGCGAATAGAATAACCATTTAAACCCAGTGGCAACATGACGGGCTCGCAGGCAGTCTACACTCGACATCAGGCCGCCATGCTCTTCAAGTCCAACGGTAAAAAAATAGCGGTTATGATAACGTAACGGTAAGCAGAAGTCGGGCACCAAAGGTTTTTTTTTATTCCTCCTCCATTTTCAGAAAGAAAAAATGTATAATTGAGCATTGTACTCATAAAACCCAGTCTTAGTCTTCTCGTTTTGCATCCTTAAATTCATCTTCATCTTCACGAGGCATTATAGAGTTATGTGGTCTATCTTCACTCATCTAAATTTCACAAGACCTAATCTTAATTTTAATTCTAAATTATATTAAAAATTCTAAAAAAACATAATAGAATTATAAAATATAAATTAGTATGTACATATAATTGTTCGCCTGTGAGTGCTTGACCACCTAATATGATAGGTGGTGGGCATAAACATGAACTAACAAGCACTTACAAGAAAAATTATTAGCTATAATTTATTTTAGTGCTTGACTCGCTGAAAATGACCTCATAAAAAATAAGTATTAGAGCTATTAAAAAGTAGCCAAAATATCTAGTCTAATAAGCAAATAATCACTCTGTCATCCATTGGCAAACATCACATCACAAGACATAAATAGCAATCAATCATAATTGACCTCATATAGATCTAGGGTTGTTGCCTTAGCAATCACATCTAATATGTGTGTGACTATTCTAATCTTTAAAGATTAATTTTTACTTTGATCTTGAGTTCAAAGTTGTCGAAGGAATGGTTTTGGTCCAAAAAAATAGTGCTTTAACATTTTTTAAAATTCTTAATATTTATTATTCATGTTATTCTTAGAGTTCGAAAGGATATTCTAAAGAAACAAGTTTACTTAAAAGGATAAACTTATCATTATAGAACACCTTAGTATTATGAAAAGTGAAATTCACATACAAAGAGATAACAACTCATTTCACAACACTCATACAAGTAAAGAAGTGTGAATTTTAGAAATTTTAGATTTATTTTGATTTTAAAGTTTGTTATTTATGAATTTGATTGTCTTTTACTTTTGTTTTAGAGTTATGTGATTGCAAAATTTGATAACACTATTTTTTGAGATGAAAGCCCTCACTTAAAATAATTCATTGAGTTTTGGAGATTTTTTACATAATATTTGCTTAATTGTTATTTATTAATTATTTTTTAAATAAAATGTTAAAATTAATGTCAAAATATACTCAAAATTCATGAAACATTTTTCTGAAGTCGAAGACCATCAAAGAGGCCTCTCAATAAAATTTAGATTAACTTTGCTTATTTTAATTCTTTTAGAATTTAGTGATTACTTTATTTACTATGAACTTAACTTATTTCAAAAAATCATAGAAATTTACTAGAAAGTTTTGAATGTGAATCAAACAACCAAATAAAAATTTTATATTATTTGGATTTCAAATGAATTTACTGTGATTTATTTATAATTTATTTTCATATTTGCATTTGAAAATTTATAAATTATTTCAATAATTAAAATAATTTAATTTTAATTATCATAATTTCACTCTTAATTTAATATCAAGAAGTTAAAACTGATTAATTTATTTTAATTTATTTTAATTTTTATGCCTTTTGAAGAATTATGTTTAATTAATAAAAGCCAACACTTTCTTTTCATTGAAGAATTATGTTGATTAATTTTAACGTATTTCATTCAAGGATAGCTTAATGAATCCATAATAAGTATTATGGCCCATTATCCTAATTATAATTCAAGAATACTAATTTGATTTTATCCTGATTGAAGACATTATTTAATGAAATATTAATAAAATTTTGTTAGAAATGATTCTAAATTGGGTAAATTTTGACTCAAGCATCCCTTGATATGTCATTTTTAAACAAATTAGTGTATTAAGTCAAATTAAATTTTATGGTTTCAATTTGGTTTCATTTAAATAAAATGAGTTGTAAGGCAAAATTTTCATTTAATTTTGGTTTGTATTTAATTTAGGTGGTCGTACGTGAATTTGCCCATTACTCATTAAATAAGCTTTACTTGGGTTAATAAAATGAAGAAGTCCAATTTTTTTTTAATTAACGAGAAATTTGTTGTGTTTAGCCAAGTGAATTATTTAGGGATGTATGGCTAGGTTGATTTGATCAATTTAGTTGATTTTATTTTTAAAGGGTTTAAGGATGATCCACTAGATCAAGTTAAAGTAGGATTGCTCAATATTTACTCATGTATGGTTTAAATGGTTTAAGTTTGCTAAGTCAGTTTGAAAAAAATGTTGGGGTGATGGGGTTTGATTATGGGTTGACTAAGTTTAACATTTTTTAGGGCGCCTATGGACTAGACATAGGTAGACTTAGACTTAGTTTGAATTTATCAAGCTCTAAAGTGAACTTGTTATTGAGCTTCCATAAAGCATAAATTCATGAACTTTTACATAAATTCACAAGCTTTTACCATGCATTTTTCATGTTGTTCTTACTTATTTATCATGAATTTATGCTTTTGGAAGGTTTTTATTGACTTTGTGCAGGTTACATGTGTCAGATACACACATATTGGAGCGATAAAAACTAACAAAAAATGGCTTAAAGTAGAGTGATCACCTCTGAAAGAGGTGTGACTATGCTTAGAAGAGGTGTGACCTTATCACACTATCATCACTAACAGTGTGACCTCGCCACAAATCGCGATGACCATTCCAGAGTTGCAAAGGACCTGTGTGACCACGCTGGAATCGGGCATGACCTTGCCGCTCAATCTAGAAGAATGGCATGACCACACCACATTTAACAATGACTAAGCCGACTAAACGGAAATTTATTTAAGCAAAAAAATTTCTTACCCAATTCATGGATTAAGCTATAAAAATATTCCTTAAAGACCTAAAGATGGCTGGAGAGCAAAAAGAGAGGGAGTAGAAAGAGAGGGTTTTAGGAGAGTTTCTTCCTAAGGATTCTCTTCCTTTCTTGGGTTTGAGGTTCTAAGAGTTCTTACAACCTAATTCTTTATAATTTTTACATATTTTGAGATGTTTATTTTATGGGATTGGAAATTGCTTCCGTCAAAGAGGGAACAAATTATTTTGTAAGTTTTATTTTTCATTTTAACATGTAATGATTATTTCAATGGAATATTTTTTAGGTGTTTTGTCTGACAAGCGTCGCTAAATTTTCTTTAGTACTTATTGATACACAAAAATAATATACTATTTTAAGTACTATTTTTATGTTTATTTTTGGTAATATTGCACTTTAAAGAAAGGTATTTTTTTTGTTTTTGTTGTAGGTATATCATTTTTAGGCATTTAGAGAAAAAATTGCAAAAGAACCAAAATTTGGAGCAAAAACAGCCAATTTTCGGGTTCAGTGCATGATGCGCCAAAATTCAGGGCGCTAGTGCATGATGCGTCAGGTGCGACATTTTCAAATTAAGGCGGTTCGAGACGAATTTTTTGCAAATTTTCAAAGGGACACTTGTGCTAAGCACCTCATGGAGTAATTCAACACATTTAGACACTATGTAAGATTCCAATTTGAAGGGATTTTACTCTTAAATCAAGGAGGCACATCTTTTGAAATTCAAAGTTTTAACTTTTGAATTTTGGAGGGAAATTGAAACTCTTTTGAGAGGAAGCAACCCAAAAGGAGGGGGAACTTTTAGAGTGTGACGAGAGGGAGAAAGAGAGAATTGGCGTGAGTCAGAGAGAGAGAGAAGATGAGATTTTCTTCTATAATTGTAAGAGGAGAGAGAAGATGAGAGATTTCTTCTTCATTACATTTCTAAGAGAGAACTGGGAGTGATTGTAAAGAGGGAAAGACTTGAAGAGAATTTTTATGAATTTTCTTGTGAAGGATTGTGAGTTAAGTTGTATTTTTCATTTATTTTATTTGTAAACTTATTTTTTTATGTGAAATCCATGTTTTATTGTATCTTTCTCATGAATTCTGAGTAGTCTTCTTTAAAATTCCTCTTACTTTGAAGAAATAGTTTTGTGAAAAATTGATTTTGTTTTCTACGGTTTTAAATGTCAATAATTTGTGAGGATTTGAACTCCGATCTTCATTTACTTTTTGACATGGCCAATTGAATTGTTAAAATGTGTTGAGAAATATATGTTCTGAAAAGTAGATATGATTTCTACAACAAAGGGAGAATCACATTTGCTTTCATGGGAGAGTATTTCATCCATGAGATTTGATGCAAATAAATAGGAAAATATACTTCATTGGATGTTGAATTAGAAGATTTTAAAGTGACATATTAGAATCCCCAATTTGGTTCAGTTGATTGGAAACTAATGCGAGCAAGTTAG